GAGAATGTTCTAATGGAGTTACCACCACTACATCACAGGAACCGATATGCTAATTAGGTGTTTATTGTCACACGCAACGTAATATTACCGTAATTGGTATAGTACAGGTGTGATGGTTCAAATACCAAAATGAGCAACAGTAACAGAAAGACTTCCCTGGCGGCGATGATAAATTACGAACACGGAGCCAACAAATGAGGTTTCAACTGGTACTGGTATTATTATACTCAGCAAACATCAAGTACAATAACGCGGTAAAACTCCACTACTCCAATAACTAGATACTTAAACTCCAATACAATTCAACGAGATCTCCGATCTGAACTCAGTGCTGAACAACTCCCCTATATATACCCACACTGTCTATAAATAGACCATTACATCAGAATACATAATGAGTCTGGAATTTACTATAAATTTCTAGAATGTTCCATTACCTTCTATTGCCTCCTACAGTGTTCTATTACCTATTCAACCAGTTTCTAAAAAAAATCTAGAATATTTCACCCAGACACAGTACGGTTCTAGAACATTCTCAGTGACACGGAAGTGGTAAATAAGTCGTATGCGACATTTATATTTACATAATAGCCACACCAGGAAAACAATGAGAATGTTCCAATGGAGTTACCACCACTACATCACAGGAACCGATATGCTAATTAGGTGTTTCATAGTTATTCAATAGCCACACCAGGAAAACAATGAGAATGTTCCAATGGAGTTACCATCACTACATCACAAGAACCGATATGCTGATTAGGTGTTTATATTTACATAATAGCCACACCATGAAAACAATGAGAATTCCAATGCAGTTACCATCACTACATCATAAGAACCGATTGCTAATTAGGTGTTTATATTTACTTACTAGGCCGTGTCGCCTTCATCCCTCCTAATTTTATGCCTTTCTTATTCAAGAACTGAAATTCAGTGACATCCGGTTCAACAACAGTGTTTATAAACCTAAGTAAATATATTTTATAATAATAATAACTTCATTGACATTATTCATTTTGAGTAAAACATAGTCATATATATAAGTAAATAACACTAGATAAATACATAATATATAAATTTGTTTTGTTTTGTTTTGTTATATGGTTATGTAGTCTTATTCTATATTTTAGTCAGACGTGCATATAGTCTAGAAATTTGTAATAAATCATAATAATTTACAATTTCTAAATTTGGTTCCAAAAATAGGGACATCGTTTCATTTGAGAATGTATTTTAGGAGTCGAAAATGATATGGGAATGGTGCTTGAACGCATAAAGTAATTTATGATGAGTTGGGGGCTCCTAATGTGCACTCAGTGAATATTACTAAACTTGCCCGACTATGCATCGGATGTGATCAGATTGGCAATCCAAATAAATGACTCACTTTTTGCATAGAAACGTGTGCTATGACGTAATGTTACATGAGCGGTCCTCTCACGGAATGTACAGATAATCAAAACATTGTTTTTTTTAGTTTTTATATATCCAAAAATGACGAACGATTGCCCAACCAATGAGAATAAGTTTGTCGACACCGCTTAGTTACCAAACTACATGACTGTGACGTCATGGAAGCACTTAGACGCTATGGCGACCGACTCTTAGCTAAAGATCACGTGATCTAGATTTTGTCAGAAACCTCCACTTGACTGCCGTTCACTATCTATTGTGGTACTGCCAAGACTACGTCATCACTGCACTAACAAATGGGAGTTGGCAATGAATTGAGTATTTTATGAACAGATCGGGTGGTTAGTGAGACGTTGCCACGATGTTCTCAGCACTATCATCGGGAGATGGCACTGGGAAGCAATATGAGTCATGTCTACAGTATTAACTAGGTCATATTTATTTACTTAATAGGTATATTCAAAATGATTTACAGGAAATAGAAAACTATTAAAATATTATACAACAATGCAATAAATAACATGATTAATATGTACAAAAAGCAACAAAATTGAGAATAAAATGAGCTAGTTGAGCACGCCCTCTTGTGATAATCCGATATCGTCCTTTCTTAAAGGAATAACATTATGAAGAGAAGACGTTTCCAAAAATACGGTGGGTTCGACTGTTTTTTTGTTTTTTTATATAAAATTGCAATTGTATTGTAATTGCGTTATTTATTTCAATAACCTGAAGGCAGTATGGTTTGTCGACGAGGTCGGAAAATGTTATAATTCTTGGCAACAAAAATCCAAAACACTTGAGATATTTTAACCAGATATTTGGTCCTTGGAGAGTTCTGAGAGTTCGATCTCCGAGTTAAATTCAAGAATGTTGTCACATTGTCTAGTTGAGCACACGGCACACATATACGTTTGGTTGGCATGGTAACGGAGTAGGTAGAGTTACATTAGCAACAGATATACGCTGCTAGTCCTTAAGTCTGGCACGTAAGCTTGGTGACCTCTTGTTGACATTCGTCGCATTTCACGGAGCAACACCAGTGAAACTTGCAGTTACAGCTCGACTTCTCTATGACTTTGGTCTTCTTAACTTTCAAACCGCAGGTAGAGCACAACCTCTTACAGCTCTGTTTTTCCCATTTCCCTTGTTCGTCTTTGCTTTTCTTGGTACCACGGACGCACTCTCTTCCGACGGTACCCATACTACCGGCAGAAACGTTGACACGGCAGTAGTCGGGCGAAGCCTCCAGGTAGACCAGGTCTTTTTTACTGAGAGGTGAGAGAGCCTGTTCACTGGCGCTGTTGGCCTTTTCTAATCCACCACGCACGTAATCGACGAGGAGACCGTTTCCGTATTTCCGCTTCAGAAAATCGCCAATCACTCGAAACTCCGATAACTGTTTCCAACAGGTTTGCGTCGTGCAGCTTCCTGATACACCATGACACTTGCACGTACGTTTCAGAGTCTGGCGCACAGCCTGGAAGAAGGAAAAAAACGTAAGAACATACATGTACTCGAGATTGATAGACCTTCACACGTATTACTTCTGCATGGGTTTACACACTCACTACTCGACTCGTTTCTTCCATTTCACAGCGATTTCACGAGCATGATCCATAGCAATCCTGGCCCAAGGGGAATGTCGATTGTTGTTGGTAGAACCGAAATGCAACGGTACTTAACTGGGGATTGAGCCTCGGGCTACTGCTTTATAACAATTGTACCTGGTTGTCATTGAATGATATTGCTCAGTGAACTGTGTCATTCTTAAATACAGGCAATGACATTATCACATAGGAAAAGGGATGCTTTACCTTTCGACCAGCTTCGTTGTTGTGAAGGTTCATAACAGCCCATGCATCTTTACCCGTCACTAATGCGTCAACGAACATTTTAGACACTCTTTCGCCAAAGTTTACGTTATCGCTGCAGCCGCCCCATTTCCAACCTTCGCCGCCTGTCAAAAACAAGAAAACGAATCCTCATCAGAAACTAATATATCTAACAGCACAAATTAACGTTACGCTTACCCATCACGCCACAGATTATAATTACGTCTTACAAAAATAAAACAAAAACTTGCCTTGATCGCCCTTTTTGGTGTCGTCACAGCCGCACTTATCGAAATCACCGAGGCTACAGTTTCTCGTCAGCGTGTACATGACGCCGGCAGAGCTAATAGCGTGCACAAACGATGTCTCTCTGTTCGCTGTGAATAAAGAAAACAAAGGGTTATATATGGTATACAAATTAATATCATATTTATAACGAAAAAAATTCCGACGTAAACTGGAAGATAACCGAAGTAAACTTACCGCGTTCCAGTGCATTCTGGGTAAACATAGGCAATGAACTCTCTGGACAATTCCAACGATCCCACAGAAACTGATGACGACACTCTTCCATTCCATGCATCGCACCGGCGGCAACACTCTGGGAAAACGTCAAATATGCCTGGGGACATAACACAAATAAATTAGAGATCTGACCTGTAATTGGTACGACATTAACACTGCGATAATTAGAGGACAGCTCTCATTGTGTTGAGGGGTTCGTACAACTTGCAGTTAGGCCGACTCACAGTGAGTAAGGAGACTGGAATGCATTGACAATAACACCAAACATGACAAACTTGAAATCAACCGGGTTACGACATCAAATGGAAGAATACACTGAATCCCGTGTGCTAAGATAGCGATATGATTAAAGACGTTATACTACAACGGACAGCAGGAAACGACCATTCAAGATCCATCTATTCACCACAGACCCACCCAAGCAATGATACAAAGATACCACATAATTGCTAAACGGGAGGGCTCAGTTATGATTATACAGAAAGGAAACAAGAGCGACTGAATTTTGGACTCTAAATCATCCACCCACATTAAAATTTAACGACGGTTACGGTACAGCATGTATCTTTCCTTTCAGCTAATAACGCAGTAGTTTTACGCTACAATGACACGGAATCGCTGGACCTAACAGTAAATATTTGAGAAGCAGCGACCCGAGAAAATGAAATGTACATAGCGGGTGGAAACACGAGATATAATACAACACCCGAGTTATGAAATAATACAACTTGCCTCCGATGTTACGTTAACGCGCCCTAAAGTAGTGTCATTACACGCCTGTTCGAGCACAATGCACGATAGCCAAACGAAGAACATGCCGCTAAATCGATTCGGTACGTAGTTGCTCCGGGCTAAATCAAGCGAGAGCGATCCAAATAGAGGCACCCCGGTTTTCTATGCTTTCCAGTATGAGAAGGCAAACAGACAGCGTAAAATGGCAATAATAGTATAGGTCGCATGATATCGAATATTTGAGATTACATACGAAACCAGACGCCCTGCTATGTTATATTGAATTATGAACTATATGTGTCCAATTAAGCCAACCATTGCAGCAAGACGTTTTGAGTATAAGCTTCAAAATTACAAAATAACTTTGAGTTGTATATGATTCGACCTGACCGTCAGAGGGCATGTCAACGTAAATGAAATATGTGACATTATGTCTAATATCACGTTCCTGTTCGTTACGTGAATTATGACTCCGGGACTTGTGTATAATTGACGGCTAAGTGCGGGCAGTTTAAATTGCACACTGGAGGTAGTGAGTCAAACATTTTACCGTATATTGCGACAAAGAATACTAGTAATGTTTACTAAAAGTGTAGACGACTTACCTTTGGTCCTGTCATAAGGAAATTGTTTAACGACCTATTAAATAATAGACAGATAAAATATTATTAATACACAATTGTTATAAATTTGAAAAAACATGCGATGGAATATCGAACTTTAAAGAGAAGCGATTCGAGTTTAGCCAACTTACCAAGATTGGACTCCATGCTGCGATTCAAGTATCAGAAATCCGAGGATACAGCTTAATACAATAGAATACATGCTGGTAATACGATGATTTTTAAGCGAGATTCAATGACGATGTTACTCCAAGATAAGGCACTTAGGACAGTGATCGGCCTTGGTATGGTACACCCCTTTTATGCCAACTGAATCGGTTGTCCACTGTGCGGAGCGCTTCACCCCCGAAAACAACGGATTAGGTGTTTTGATGTGCCGACCAATGAGCGACGAGCAACAAGTCCAAACATTCAAAGATGAAAAGGACCGCCGTTCGTGAAAAGACCGCAACGTAGTGAATAGTAGGAAGACACGGCAGACAGTGATAACTGTATTACACGCTGAATATGAATAGCTTAGACGAGAGTGTGAATGTTATCCGTCTTCTTTTTTACCTCTCAGTCATATCAGCGTCCTGGGTGAAATGTGGACTGTATTCAACCATCCGTAAAATAATCAAGTTGCAGATGTTACCGCGTTTCGCGTAGTCTGACTCACAACCTGACTAGCCATGATAACTTGATAGGTCTTTGTATCACTACATCGCCAATGAAGATGAACATATTAGGCGTTGCTGGCCCCTCCCTCCACCGATGCACATCGATTTAAACCTCGCCATCGCTTCTGGTCTTAGTACTAACTCATTTTTCTATGTACCAACTTGAAGACATCGATGTTAGAGAATCTAGATAATCTCAGAATCTCGACTGTGCTTTTAATTAACATTATTCCAGGGTATACAGCACTAAGACATGCAATAAATACGTTCCGTGCAGCATGCCGAAGCCATAAGTCAGCTTCATTATAGCATCATGGTCCGCCGGCGATAAGTCATGTGAAAAACAACAGACATCTGAAAAGAAATAATCAATTGGTTTCTCTCCTTGTTATTTTTTTATTGCGATCAGTTTTCTGTAGTTTAACAAACGGATTAGCTACGCGATTTTTTCTCATAATCCTGTCCCTTGTGTCTCTAATAGCACCCGCCCATCCAATTAGTGAAAGGTGATATACTGTATACATGGGTTGTGATGTACATTTCTATACATTTTACCTGGGAATGAAATAAAACAATTGGGGACTGGTTAGTTTGAACATAAATCGATCTCGCCATGCGCTTAACATTTGCATGTGAATTTGTTTTGGATTCCACACTCAATACAACTAGTACCATTGATATGATGGGAACCCGTCACAAACAATAGACCTGATTGTGTTTTAATTAACAAACTAATTAAATACAGCATCAATTCTGTTAATCCATCGTTGACAATACGGTGGGAGAGTGACATGGTGAGGGTTAGCCTTGTTTTACTCATGTATTGTTACATGGCAAACTGATAGCTTGTTTGTGACAAATCCCAAGTGGTATTGACTAACTAACATGCAAGTTCTTTTATTTCACGGACCAACACCACTCTTTTCAGAGTTCTGATCAACTCGGTGTTTTTTACGTTGAATAAACAACAACAAGCCAAGCACCTTGTTGGTTTTTCTCGAAGAGCCTTTTGTGCAGTTAGCTGGTCCGTCAACAATAGCACACCGTTGAAAAATATGTTTATTTTCTATAACGATTTACATATTGAATTACGTACATGTAAATTATTATCGGTTATTCTTTGTCATGAACCAACACAAGAAACGAGAAATACAACTTTGTTTTTATTCCCGTGTCAGAGCCCGGATACGCGTACATATTGCACGTATTAGGAAAGGTTACGGAGAGTACACTTGTATGTTATCCTCACAAAGTACGTTTACAGTTCGTTCAGTGTAAATGAAAAAAATGAACAACAACAAAATCAACAACAAAACATAGTGTAACATATATAGAAATTTAGGAGTTTAGGATATATTATAAAGCAACATATGCTTAAACGGAGTCTATATGAGTGAAGTTTTAATAATTTCACAGTTGCGTGGCCGGATCTCACTTTATTACCATGTGATGTCAACGTAGTCGATCATCATCGCGTGTGTTCCCGATATGCCTCGCCATACCGGGCATTTGTTGAGCGTAAAATTAGGTGTATCATGTTTTTAATAACTCTAAAATCTTAAATTACCCGTCTTTTTTTCTAACATTGACTGCTCAGTGGGTGGGGTCGAAGCCAGGTTCATTGTATAGGCATGACACTGATGCCTGACATTAACGTTGTGTGAAACACGAGTGAATTATCCGTGGCGCGGGTTGTACCGAGAATACAACGTGTTTGTCACACGTGGTCGCTAGACGACAGCTTTATGTTATTCGGATTTCACACTTCCTTTGCTATGTTTGTTTAATGTTTATTGTAAGTCACGTGACATGCCGTGGTTGGTAATTTCTTCATGCGACCGGACGGGAAAAATGAAATTGCTATTTATTTTTCGTCTTCGCTAGCGCCAAGGTTTGTTTGTTCGGCCATCGTCTTACCATTATATGTTTACCTAGAGATCAAGAAACCATGGGATTCGGACAAAGATTATGTAGTGAAAGACAAGTACTATAATGTAATCCCGGGGATGTACACACTAAATGGGTTCTCGGTAATCGTTTTGTTCTTCAAAGTTGTTCACGTCAACGATTATGTTATTTTAATGTATTTTCTTTTCGTTCTGATTTAAAACAGAGATACATTATTAGCAGCGGAATACATTCTTCAGAATGTTCGCTATCACAACTCAGCGGATTCTATATAAGTATTATTATGTGTCCGTTTCGTTCTCGTAGATGCGGCATTCATAGTGCTTCTTTCAAGTTGTACGATTTGGATGCCGGTACTGCCACAGATGATGAATTAATTAACTATTACATTTATACATTCTTGAGTTTTGGGGTGGGTATGAGTGCCCTGAATGAAAACTTGAAATTTTGTTTACTAGTATTTAATAATAATGTATTTATAATAGATCAGTACCAAAATCCGATGGCCATAGTATCTTGGCATAATAATGGTAATAATAATATAATATAATACTGGTATAGTGCCGTTGGTCATTGAAATTAATCCCGTCATGATGAATCAATTGTAAAGATAAGGATCCGAATGTAACATATAGTTTGTTATACCTTTATTACATTTGTATTCACCTAAATTGAATTTCTTTCAATATAGTTGTAATAAAGAATTATCTGATCTTATTAGCGTATTTCTGCATATCGTAACTCTTTGTCAATCGACGATAGGTGCTACGTACAGAAAAGTAGGTCAAGCCACATAGCCAAGCAATAATCATAGAGGGCGCTAAGTAAATCTGACAAACAACTCCACTCAGTTCCAGTCCATACTACGCATTTCGTCACATTACTACAACTTTCACCATGCACCGATCTCTATATGCATGATGTTACCGAATGCTGTAATTGAAATAACAATTTTATGTGATTTACACCGATTACGCCCGTCATGACGCCAGTGACGTCATAGT